TTTAAATGTTCGTTCATCTTTGTAAGACAGATATTGTTCATGGATGCGACAGGTCTAAAAACGGCGCAAAAACTGATTGATATTGTTGATGAATATGACAGGCCGAAAACGGCGCAAAACTGGTCACCTTCAGCTAAAGCTATCCTCGCAGTGAACGTTTCGGTGTGTAGGGGATGCTTGTATAGGTCGTCGTCAGTGCAGGAAACACAACACTACGCTAGGCTATCAGTTTCGTAATCACTATCACTGTGGCTATCACAATCATTAATACGCTCCTCTATATTTAAAACAATAAATATTCTCATGGCATTCGGAGTATGATGGGTGGTTTTTTTTTGACATTTGGAGTAGTTGATAATTTATTCATAGAGACACCAACTGTGTATTTGTATATTATCTAGGTGACTGTTTTAGCCCATGACAGTCGGACTCTAGTATGATATAGTTGCTGTTTTCGGCTTTTAACATTCGGAATATAATATAGTATGATCGATGTACTGCTTTTGGCATATTATGACATTCGGAATAATACAATATGATCTAGGTGCTGTTTCTAGGCGTATGAAATTCCCGGACTCAAGTATGGTATAGATACTGTTTTAAGCTATGATATTCGGTATAAAATATAATGATCTTGGTACTGTTTTAGGCCAGTAGCATTCTATGCTATAGGTGCTGTTTTCGGCGTATGACAATCGGACTCTAGTATGATATGAATGCTGTTTTAGGCTTTTGGCTTTCGATATATGATATGATCTAGTTGCTGTTTTTGACTTATGGCAATCGGATTATATAATCTAGGGGCTGTTTTCGACATATACGGCAATCGGACTCTAGTATGACCGAGGTGCTGGTTTAGGTCTGTATGACATTCGGGCTCTAGTATGAGTGGCTACAGCGAGCTGTTTTAGTCTTTTGACTTTCGATGTATGATATGATCTAGGGGCTTTTTTCGGCTGATGACATTCGGAATATAATAGCATGATCTAGGTGCCGTTTTCGGTTCATGGTATTCGGAATTTAATATGATCCTGGTTCTGTTATAGGCTTATGACATTGGGACTCTGATATGATATCGGTGCTGTTTTAGGCTTTTGACATTTGTGGTGTGATCTAGATGCTGTTTTTGGCTTATGAGATTCTAAACAACATAACATGACCGAAGTGCTGGTTCGGACTCTTGTATGCTATAGGTGCTGTTTTCGGCGTATGACAATCGGATTATAACATGATGATCTAGTTGCTGTTTTCGGCTTATGACATTCGGAATAATATAACATGATGACCGAGGTGCTGGTTTAGGCCTATATGACATTCGGACTCTAGTATGAGTGGCTACAGCGAGCTGGGTGGGCCTGGAGGAGGAGATGGTGGAGGAGAAGGAGGCGGAGGTAGTAGAGGAGGAGCCGTGGCGCGTCCTCAGGCCCGTGGCCGGAGCGCCCTGTCCAACGTGTGTGGCCACCTGGCCGCCCTGGTGCCGTGCGGGGTCCGGCCTGGGTGTGGCGCCAACCTCCACCACCCGGCCCTGACCGCCATGTCCGAGGAGGGGGAGGATTCAGACGGTGGTGTGTGCGGTGATTGTGAGGCGCCGGCCTGGTCCTGCCTCTGCAATGAGCACGTTGTGAGGGGAGACGTTTATGCGTGATAGTACATAATACGTTGTTGTTGTTGTTGTTTG